TACTCTTAGTTGCTGTAACATGTTATCTTTCCGTGGTCTTGGTGGGTCATTGACAGAATTCAGGGAATCCCTGTACACAACTTGGATGCATGGTGGTGTGAGAGCATGAAAAGTCCCATGCAAAGGAGTAATGCCATTAGAGGAGGCAAGGGGCTTCAGCCAGAATAATCAATGTCCCTGGATAGCCACAGCCAGTGGTGAGGCTTTCTTCTGGGGCTCTGGTCATGGTGACCACACGAGGGAGAGAGATACTTACAAAAGTCATGGAGTCTCGGTCCAGTGTCTGGTAGTGACATTCTACCAGCACTTCATCTCCCTGTTCAGAGTGAAACATGAAAGCTGAGAGTAAGACACAGAAGGACTGGTACAGTCTTAGAACTTTCTTGGCTGACAGTAATAGGTTCTGATATTGCCTTTTCCCCAACTCACCCACCCCTCCCCCAGACTCCCACCGGCTTGATGGCCAGTCGATGAGGTAAATCTCGAGTCTCCTGCAGATTGAAGTCGTAGGAATCATCTTTACAGATTATTTGGAGTTGCGTTCCATTTCTAGAAGGACAGAAGGGGAGAAGACAGAAATAAGAAGATAAAGTACAGAGAAGTCTACCCATAAAGATGCATGTGGGGGGTCATTCTGTGAGCAGATTGTCCACAAAAATAAACAACAAAGTGCCTCCTTCCACAACCTTATTCCAGTCATCTCTCTTCTAGGGATATTTCTAGTTCCTCCTTATTCTCAATCAAGCATAACCTTAGGCTGCAGAATGCATAACCGTTCCTAAAATGTATTGCCAGATACAGAAGTGAAAGCTTCAAATCCAGGTCTTCCCTTACCTGTATTGCACGGCCTGCAAGGCTCGCCCAGCCAAGTGGGTGTGCAGCAGGTAGCCGTATACTTGTATGTCAGGTACAGGGGCCCCATTCATCTGCAACAGGGAGGAGGCACACCTGATTTGTTAGGAACTCTGATCTTAACAGCTCCTTGATTTTCCTCACTTGCTACTTGACACCTTCCTCTTATGACTGACACTCACCCTTTAATTCTTATTGAAACTTCCTGGCCCCTCTTCTTACCCTACTCTTTCTCCCAAAGCCCTGACTCCTTCCCTTCCTTGCAGGATTTATGTTAGTGAATTTCCTGAACACCAGGCTGTGATCATTCTCCAAGTCTTGGTGCAGGCTGGGCAGGCTCGTGGATCAGACCAGATCTGTGATGGGCCACGGGAAGGTATGTTCCCTCTTTGGGAAGGGCGTGCCTCCCAGCTTCACCTCTTCGAACTTCTCCGTCTTGCACAGCCCGTAGGACATGAAGGACTCAGCACCCGGGGGGATGAAGTGGATGGGAAAGGTAAAGAAGCCCAGCTGGAGGACGCCCATGTCGTATTTGCGCAGCTGAGCGCTGTAGTACACTCGGATCCCTGAGGTGTCGTACACACCTGGTGCAGAAAGGAACAATCTCAGCAGG